TATTAAATTAATTGAAAAAGGAACAAGAAAATGAAAGAGAGTTATAAATGAATTATATATTCGAATAGAAAATGAATATTCAACAAAACACCAAATTCTTTGTTCATCATCATCTATATCATCGATTAATTGACGATAAATAGGATCATGAATTTGTGTAATTATTGTAACGAAAAATACACTTGAAATAACTAATTTTGCTAATTGTTTACTTTTTTGTCTATTAAAACGAGTACTCTGAATAACACTAATCATTCTTTCAGTTGCTACACATGCATTGAGCCATTCACTTGATGCTAAAAGAACTTTGAGAAGAAAATCTAATGAAATACAATTAAAAATAAGTAAAGATCGATTATTTATTAATGACATTTGTGAAAGTATAAGTTGCCAAAATTTAATAGTTAATACAATAATCATACATATTGTTGTAATTGATGAAATTAAAAGATAATAACCAGTACCAACTTGTCTTGGTTTTACTCTATAAAATACAATAATTGATAAAAAACCACTAATTAAACCTAATATTAACATAATTGTACTAATAATAATACTTATTTTAATAATTAATGGTTGTTGATTAAGTGAAACATTTGGTTTTATATGATAACCAAGAATAGGATCAAGAGAAAAAAGAAAACCTTTAGTTGAAAATTGACATTTTGCACCATAATAACAATCTTGACATTCACATGTTGATTTTGTTGGACATGTTTCATTATTTTGAAAACATTGACCATTATTTTCACAATAATTATTACCTTGACAATCATAATTCATTGTATGATTAAAAAAAAAACAATTAGAAAATCGATCAAGATCACATATACATATAAGATCATTATCATAAAAACACATCATTTGTATATATTGTCGACATAAAAGTGGATAATATTTTGTTCGACGAAGATATTCAAAATTAATAAATGTACTATTAAGAAGTTTATTAATAGAAAAACAACGTTGATGTGATTTTATTTCAGTATAAATATATTCAGAAGGTATAAATATTTCTCGAAGTATTCCTATATAATAATCTTGATGAGGTATTTCAAGAAGAAGAATATTAAATGGTTGTGATACATGTAATGTTAGAATATGTTGATTATAATGAATTTTTTTCAAAAGTGTTGTTCGTTGATGTTCAGCATCTTTGAATGCTGTAATAAAATGTATAAATAGTAATGAAGTTGGTATTATTCTTACATCATATAAATGTATATCAATTTGATTATTTATATTTTCACATCTTGTACCTGAATAATCTTGTGAACAGAAACAAGTAAATCCTGTTAAGTCAATACGATCATCATTTGGTACACAAAGTCCATTATGTTGACATGGATTATTTGATAATTTACAAATTGAATGTTTTAAATAACAATAAGAACCAAATTTATATAATGGACATACACATATAAATGGAGCTAAACAATATGAATCATTTGAACAATTACATTCATGTGAAATTTCACATCGAATACCAGAATATCCTTGATTACATTGACAAAAAAATAATGATTTTTCATTTATATATCGCATACATTTACCATGTTCTCCACATGAAAGAGAACATGATATTGTTTCTTGTACTTCAGGAATAAATAATTGAGTAACGATTCGATTAACAGGTAAAAATGGAAAAGATATTGGTAAATACCAACTAGCCCAATAATTTAAGTTTGTTTTTTCGAAAAGATCGATACGAATTGAATAATTACTAGAGATATTTTTTGGTCGATTTGGATAAAGTAAATAGATATTAAATTTTGTATTACAATCACGAGAAGACATATATGTAATTTGTTCAAAATTAGGTGCAATTTGTCCATTTTCATCAATAAGCATGATAATTACTTGAAATATAACAGTAATAGATGCAGTACTACGCCAAAGAAATTGAAGAGTCAAACTAATACGTTGATTTTGCCATTGACATTGATTACCAAAATAATTAGGTGGACAAAGACATATTTTCGTTTCATTAATACCATATAACACAGCAATGCCACGATGACAATAGGAACTGAGATCAGCATCAATTTTTGGAATAAGTTTTTTTTCTTGATCATGTTGTTTAGGAGTAATCGAAATAGAACGTTCATTTGTTATTGGTGGAAAAT